AAAAAAGTTTATTTTTCATTTTTGTCGATCTCATGCTTTATATAGAATTCGGAAAGAACTTGTTGTTTTGTTGGTTGGTGTTTTGAGGTAGTATTTGGTCGTAAAAAGATAAGTTCTATTGATGCAAAATTATCAACAATCGGATGAGCTGAACAATTATCAACTTATAAAACATTTTAGACTCTCTACAATGCACATTTTAGTTTTACTCTTCTAGAAACTTGAAAGTTGACCACAATTGGCTAACTTTTCCTTATACCTACGTCGGACTTATTGTTAGGTTTGCTAGTTGTTTGCTGATCGATGTGATTTATATCTTAATTGGCTGTGGATTGACGGTATCACTGGATCTTCATGTTGTCTAAATAAAAAATTAGACACCATGAAAAGTCAAGCATCTATATATCTGCTTCTATTTTTTATGCCAAATAAAAACTGGAAACCATTTAAACAACGATAATTGTTTAAATAAAGGTTTTTAAGCCAGTCATTAGCATTGCTTTTGCAAAACTTTGCCAACCTTTTCGAGGACACAGCAAAGTAGTATCAGCAAGTGAATGTAAAGAATGACATTTTTTGGTTTAGGTTTCTACGTAAGCAAAATTTGACCCAATTTTACAAGAGGTCACACGTTTACCTATTCGCCCCACAGTGTATCTTAGCCCTAAAATTCAAAATGAAATTATTTTCAATAGGTTTGAAGCAGTTAAAAGTCATTTAATCACAAAAAATCAAGAATTGCTTATTCTATATTATCATGATTAATACTACTAACAATATCAATCAAGGTTAGACATACGTTGGGTAAATTTAAGTTTTAAAAATTGCGACATAAATGAACCTTTTCTTAGATTTCTTGATGCTACAGTTGCAATTGATTTAGGATTAACAAAACAGGTAAGTGATTGCAGGGCTGCCGAGAGCTTTTATGACGCCCAGAGCATAGCAGCAATCAGACGCCTCTATAAGCTTGCATATTTCTAAAAGGAATTTATGTTAAAAGCATGTACAATTGAACTAGATCTAACTATTTTATATCTTTATAATTTCATGAACCGGTTTAATCCAGATGCGGTTAACCGCATCTGGATTAAAAAAGTTTATGCAAAACATTTAAGATTCACTGATTAGGTTTAATAGACAGATTCTTTAAAATTGGTATTGAAAATTCTCTTTTCTTGCTTTTTTAAAGCAAAAATTATTATTATTGTGTCAATTTACGATGAGAGGTATCTAATTTATTTTCAACTTAAGTGTCTAATAGACGCTTTTGTTCTATAGTGACCTTGTATCTTTTATTTAATCAATTTTAGTTTACTTAAAAGTGGTTCACTTTCTATATCAGATACTGGCACTGTGTTGAAAATTAATAGGAATATAAATTTAGCAAGCATATAAGTTGGAAAATAAGCTCTAAGCCGTGATTAATTATGATCTTTTTGCTACTAGTTTTATAGCGGGAATTTGAGCTGACCGTTATTTATTCTAACGGTTTACAACACAGTTCGTAAAAAAACGCTGACGTTCTGCACAATCTTTGATTCTTTGAGGTTTCAAAAAGGTCGCTTTACTTAAACTATATGCTGAGTTTGATAAGAAAGGCTGTAGTTTTAAAATATAAAGTTATATATTGCAATTTTGCATTGCAGTTTGAAATGGGATGAGCAGATTTATACACAAAACTTCAGATTTAGTGTACAGCTAGTAAACCTTTTTTATATCTGAATAGCCCGATACCATAATGAAAAAAACATTTGATTGCGAATCCAAGCAGCAGCTTTTACTTATACTTTTACTTTGAAGTTGTTGGATATTAGTACTCCAAGGTTGCTTTCAAAACATGTTGAAACTATATTGCGTCCGTTACCTTCAGTAACAGCCATAGTTTTGATACGTTAATTAGTTTTTCCAATAACCAACTTGCATTACCTTACACTTATAAATATTAAAATTCGTGAGCCATTTGTGCGACCATTTATATAGTGCTGCTGATGCCCACTTGTATTTTTTTATAACACGAGAAAAATTGATCGACATCAATAACTCTTATGATCTTGCAATCATCGGCGCATAATTTGGTTTGGTTATAAATGCAGTCTGGTAAGTCATTGAATATCTTTGATCAGAAATTGATGTATACAGCAATCCATTTTAAATATATGCATAGTAATGAATTTTATCATCATGTTTTATTTCAACGGCATTAGCCTTAAAAATAAAATTATACTGACTAGACTAGCTTGATACATACATCAGTGTAAAAGATACCTGAAACCTATAGGTTTAAAGTATCTTTTAATCTGAAACTTTGAAAAAAACTTTTTTTTATAAAAATTCCCGACAAGAAAATTTGATGCGCAACACATAAGGTAGCCAAACTCGATCAATTGGATGGCGTAGATGTGGGCCGTGTATGGTTATGGCATTTATAATACATAGCGAACAAATTATAGCCACGTGTAGGTCATATATGGCTACCACCTAAAATGGTAGCCATATATAGGGCTAAGTGTTTCTGGTTGTAAAGCTTTCAAAAATAAATATGTATACATATTTATTTTTGTTTTATTTACATATTTATTGTTATTTTATAATTATAATTAATAAAAACATGATTAAGCAGCTAACAAAAATATTGGTATCATTAAAAAAAAACATTTCAGTATATTGAAATGTTTTTTTTTTAATGATACCAATATTTTTGTTAGCTGCTTAATCATATTTTTATTAATTATAATTACTTTTTAACTACATAATTATAAACTACATAATTATAAAAAAAATAAAGTCTTTTTCATACGGAAAGTAGGGTATAACGAAAAGTTATAGCCTTAATATATACATCACATTACATGTGATCACGGATATCTAAAATGGCTGATCTTCGCATTAAAATGTTGTAAAATTTGAAGTTTTAATAGAAAATATACAATATAAAAATTTATATAATTTATATATATATATGTTTTATAGTGATTTTTTATTAGCCGACTATTTTTTAATATGTTTTTAGTTACGCAATTTTTATCATCGCAAATGCAGCTATAAACTTTTAATAACGTTTTATACTTGCTACAAAAACGTATTTCACGTATATGACAGCCTTACAATCTTTAACAGTAAAACACTTAAAGATTGCAAGGCTGCCATGACAACTAAAAGATTTTAGACTAAATTAGTTTAGAAGATATATTATTAATTAGAGAAGTTAATAGATTTATTTTTAATCTCCAAATAACAATCCTTGTTTATTCTGATTCCACACAATTTTACTAAATAATAGGCGGGGGCTTTTATAAATTACATTTCAATTAACTGCTGCAATTAACCACCGCAAATATCGTAAAGTCTAAGATAAACTTATTTTTTGATATTGTTTTGAGAACCGCTCTAAAACAAACATTATATATATATATATATATATATATATATATATATATATATATATATATATATATATATATATATACATATATATATATATATATATATATATATATATATATATATATATATATATATATTCATATATATATATATATATATATATATATATATATATATATATATATATATATATATATATATATATTGCACCCGTTATTAAAAAGGGACGTATTCTTTGCCAAAAATGAGAAAGAACGTATGGACGTATGTACATTTAAATAAAAATAAGCTCTCTATATATTACAAAACTATAAATACACAAGCAATTATAACGCTTTTATTTGTTGAAAAACTAAAAATAAATGGGTCACTTTTACAAATAAAAAAGTAATTATGTTTTTTCCTTTCCCTGGAAAGTTTGCATTTTGGAGAAAAAAAGGGTGCGATATATATATATATATATATATATATATATATATATATATATATATATATATATATATATATATATATATATATATATATATATATATATATATATATATATATATATAGGTTTATATATCAAGAGAAAAGGTTAAACTGTACAGTGATTAACTAGTTTACAAAATATCATTAACTCATATGTTCAGAGCGTCAAAAAGATTTAGACATTTTTATCCAAATATATTCGAAAAAAAATGTTTTCTAAAAGCTTGTTAAAATATATTCTAGGCTGATTAAAAAAAAACTTTAGCTGTCTGAAAATATAAAATGTAAAAATATCGATACATAGCATCAATAATTAATTTTTTTCTACATTAAACATTAATTACTTTAAAATGCATGCATGGATTGTTAATGACTACAGTTATTTAGCTTTTGTTTTTAAAATTAATATTAAATCACTCGGTAAGACTGTTACCTTTTAGATCAAAAGAATGCATAAAACATTTATTAATTTCCATTTTAAAAAATGACGTGGTGTGCTTTTCTATAAAATATATTTTTTTAAATTGTTATTTCACACTAAATATTTTTATTTTACGCAATGCAAATAAATTGAGTAAGTTTTTAAGAAGAAAAGGAAAGTTATTAATCTATGTTCTAACTAATTTGTTTTATTGTATCTTAATTTAACAAACTATTAGAAATTGAAATTTGAAGAAGACGGTTCTAATAAAATTTATTAGTAATATATTGCTGAAACCAGTTGATAATAAAAATATAATATAAACTTTTACAGGTTCTTTTGTTAAATAAATACAATTTTTAACGTACGAAAAAAAAAAAAATAAAGTCTTTATAATTCAGTGCTTTCATGCAATATAAAGTTTGAACTATGAAAATCGTTTAAAAGTAAGTTATTTTAACCGAAAAATGATTTTTAAGACAAATTTTTCATGGCGCTCAGCGATCCAAACCTTTTTTGACGTTCCCCGAAAAATACTTTGAAAGCATTTGCGTGACTTTTTATAAATATTAATCTGAAATATTGTCATTTTTTAAAATACCAAAATAGCACAACAAATTTGTTGCTCAATATTAATATTTAATTTTAACAGCTGACGACAACGAAAAAAATAAATAAAGATGAATTTGTAATTTTCATTTTGTTCCCGTATGAATAGTTACTAAGCAGCAAACAACAAATTTGAACAGGTATTTAAAGCAAAATTTCATTCACATTAATACATTTGCAATCGGAAGTTTTAGCATTTTGAACTTATTTAAAAGAACTCCAGTAACTCAATCTGTTTTAACATAAAATGTAAGTTGCATTTAAAATAACTTTTTAATGTTAATAAACATAGCTAAACTTGACGATACGGAACAAATCGAAACTAATAGATACACAAAATTAAATGTCTTAACATTCGGAATACATGGCATTTGTAAAATTTAGTTATGCAGTTATGTTTTTTTTTTCAACTAAATCAGTTATGTTTTTTTTTTTAACTAAAATTATTAAAAATAATTTTTGTTTTCGATGTTTTAATTGCTCATACTCATTTTAAAAAAATTAAAACTAATTACCTTATTTAAAATATATTAGACAAATATTTGAAAAATGTCTGTTCCATCGCCACTCTCTCACACCCATCGTCAGTTGGAAAAGCAAAATATTGCTCAGTTGACGATGAAGTTTAAAGAATACACTGACCAAGTGAGGCAAATGAGAGACCATTGCAAAAAAACTGAAAACAACGTATTTCTTTCTCACATTGCAGCATTAGATAATGAGATTAAAGATTTGCAGAGCATCTACGAAAGAGAGCTAGAGTCAGTCAGAGGTCAACTTGATGCTTGCATTGCAGAAAGGAATCAGTTACATTTAGATGCAAGCAAATATGGTGCTCTTTCTAAAGAATTACAGGACAAGTATGATTTTAAATGAAAATTAGTCAACAAAATTACAAAAATTTATGTTTTTAAATTGTTGCAATTTTTGCTTGTTTTTACTAATTGTTGTGTATTGAAATTGTTAGATATAACGATGAGAAGACAACTCGCACTAAACTAGAAAATGCATTAGCCGACGCCCACCGAGTTCTAAGCGAAAAAGATTTACTCATTAAAGAACTTCGCATATCGATTGCACAACATCAAAATGCTCATTTAGATACAGCTAAAGAACGAGATGAACTGCAAAGCACACTCACTACATTGCGAGTTACGTGCGAAGGAGAAACTAAAATGCGTATTGATTTAGAAGCTTATGTTCAAAAGCTAACCGAGCAAATAAATTTTGAGCGTGACATTCATGAAAAAGTAATTTTTTCAAAATTCATTATAACTAAATTATATATATATATATATATATATATATATATATATATATATATATATATATATATATATATATATATATATATATATATATATATATATATATATATATATATATATATATATATATTATTTACTAAGTATACTCTGTTAAATAACAAACTCAACTAAATAACAACACATTTTTGTGGGTTTGAGTTTTCATATTTAAGCATATCTTTACTCATATATTTTTAAATATATTTAAGGATATCATTGATCTAAGAAATCGCAATGCTGCCGCTGAACGAACTATTGAAATTGCTGACCAGAAGCTTCGAGAGCACGATCTTGTTGATGAAAAACTTCAACAGCAAATTGAAAATATTAAAAGGCAAACAACATACGATTTCGTTCAATACCAAGAAGCTTCTGAGAATTCTTACCAGTTACAGGTAAATATTTTTACAAAAGTTGTTCAAACCTATTATAGTAGTAACGTTAAACTTAGAAGAAACGTAGTAGTAACCTTACACTTAAAAGAAACGTAGTAATAACGTTACGCTTGGAAATATTTAGATGTTTTCCGATACAATTTGAAGTTAGTTAAATTTAAGAATCGTTACAAACTTTTTTTTCAGCTACAAGAACATAAAAACCGAATGGCAAAAGAAACACAAGCACTTGCGCAACAAAAAGAGGAAAATATTCATTTAAAAGCAATTATTGAAGAAATGAATGCAAAAATATATAAACTGGACGGAAAGGTAATTATTAAATTTTATTTATTTTCAAATTATTTATATAATAAGTTGAAAAGAATGTATTTGTCTTTTTTTAATTTCATCATTTTTATTTTAATTCATTTTATTTTTTATTATTTTATTTTTACTTTTATTGTTTTTTATTTTTAATTATAAGGTTTTTATTTTGGTCTACGTAGGTTTCTTCTTACCATGAACAAAATACTATTCTAATTCACACACTTGAAGTCGAACGTCGCGCTGCTGCTGCAACATGTCACGAGCTTGAAAAGAAACTTCAAGAACTCCAAGAACATTACAACACCAAAGTCCGTGAGTTAAACATTGTCAGCAGTGTCAACATACCAATCGACTTAGAACTTGAATCATTATCGCAATTAATAGAAGCTGAAGCAAAACGATTAGATGTTGCTTTATCTAACCCCTCAAGTGAACTTGTTTCTACTGTACGTGGAGAACTGGTGTCAAACCGAAGTCACTATGTACACAACGCTAGTCCCCGTAAAGCATCTTCAAATGCTCCTTTAAAAAGGCAAAAGTCACCTGCAGGTAATTTGATAAACTTAACTTGTGCATATATATATATATATATATATATATATATATATATATATATATATATATATATATATATATATATATATATATATATATATATATATATATATATATATATATATATATATATATATATATATATATCTTGTTAAAAATCTAATTATAAATTTTTACATTTAGCATTGGTAGATACTACTACAGAACTACCGCCTCTAGCAATTCCTAAATATACAACAACAAACCTCCCTTTGATAAATGATGGAAAAGTTCGCAACTACCCAAGCTATTCCAATAGAAACTACTACATTGAAAAATAAGCTATTCACCAGCTTCATTTTAAAAAACAAAACAGATGCATAATGATGCATTATTGTAAACGGTGCAAAACGACGCAGCTTAATGCACTCTTTGCGTTTTTTATTAAACATATAGTAAGTTTCAAAACATAGTATTTAATTAGATAAGTATTTATTTAAGTATAAAATGAATATATGTTGAAAATTATGAAAGATTTTGTTTTGTCAATTGGAAATTTTATGTATTAGATATATTATGAGATTAGATATAACGCTTTTTACACATAATTTTGTTCAAACATTATTTACATATAACACTATTCTAAATATTTAAAGATATGATGATTTTAGAAGAATGTTATTGTTAACTTTATTGTTTAATAAAAATTAAACGCACACAGTCATTTGTTAATTATTAATCTGGTCATTAAAATTTTGTTACAAAAAAGGCACTTACTAATTCTGAGTTACCTACTTTTCCTCATTTTATCATAATATTTGTTTTGATATCACCATTCTCGTTATTTCAAAACTCAGCGAAGGAATTCGATACCATTAATATCTAAGTTATATGAACAGTATTTTGGCTTTTCAATCAGATAACAAAAGATAACTTGGTTTCCGCACATTTGTTGTGTTACATTATTGGGATTACTGGATGGATTAGAAGATCTCAATTTGTGCTTTTTGCCCTTTAATTTGGATGGAACCAAAAAATTACTTATCTAATTGTTATTTTTGTTTTGCTGTTACAAAAGGTTAAAAATAAAAAAAAGTAAATTTTGGTATCCTTTCCTGCCATCATTATGTTAAAAAAACAATATATTTTAACCACCTTAACACATAAAACTTTGGATTATGAAAACTTCATGAAAGCTATGGATAGGAATGGTGGTGGTGCTAGTCTTATTATATTTGAAAGAAAAATTCTCTCAACATAGTGTATTTAAAATTAAAGAGGGCCTATTTGTTGGCCTTAAAATCAGACTATTGATAAAATATGATGTATTTAAAGTTTAGTGGTTTGTAAAAAAACAGCTTAGAACCTTTCATAAAAATAACTTCCAGTTCTATAGGAAATTACTGATCAAGTGACTATAAAAGTATTGTTGCATTAAAAGGCAATGAGATGCAACACACTTTCTTTATTTACATTTTAGACTTTCCTAAATTGTATTATTTTCAAAATTTTTTATTTTATTTATAAAAAGTTTTAACACTCATTAAGGCTGGAAAATCAAAGCGATTGAGATATTTATAGGTTTCTTTCATGATATGGTAACTTTTTTTCAGTTTTTAAAATTTTGAAAATTTTAATCAGGTAGAAGTAATAATAAAAATCAATGCTGTAAACTCAATTAATATCTTGGAATTAAAATTGACTCCAACCTTTCATTTATATCTTAAAGAATAAGCCACAAAATTAAGAAAACCAAATGGAATGCTAGCTAAAGTTCGCCATTATATCAGTTTTATAAACACTCTTATACATACACCATACCATTTTTGGCTCGCATTTATGATATGCCTGTCAAATATTAAGACAACCCAAACAGCAAGCTGTTACAAGGGTATCTTAGCTTCAAAACAAAGTATTAAAGATAATGTATTTTAGAATTACAAATTCAATTCTATTATATTCTTCTATTCTATTATTTTTTATCAATTATTTTATTATCAATACTATTATCTTTCTTTCTATCTTTCTAATCTATCTATTCTACTATCCTTCTTATCTATCTATTCTATTATCGATTCTATTTTTTTAAGATTATTAAATTTTGTGATCTAGTTTATCTAAATTGCCAAGTTATCTGGAGTGACCAAAATAAAAACTTATCTCTTAGCTTCATTAACTTCTTCCCTAAAAGTGCAAATAACTATTACTTTCTTCAATCCATTACCAATCTGAACTTACCAGCCTACTTCTGGTAGGTTTTTACGTAAGATTAGAGCATGTACTATTTGTAAAAATCCATGAAGCGAAATAACTATTTCAGAAATGCATTAATGGATTTAGCAAAACCAATAATATCTTCAAATATAAGAGTAAAATATAGCATGAAATTCAAATAAAATGAAAATCAAAATAAATAAGTAAAAATAATAATTATAAAAATGATAAATACGTTTACTAAAACATACTAGTTTATAATACCAGAGATCAGTGGTATGAAACCTTATTTTTATAAAAGTTTATTTCAATGTCGATAATACAGAAAGGTAGGATAGATAGGTAAGATGGCTAAAACAATACTACAAAATTTTTTACAGAATTAAAAAAAAACGATTGCTTCATAGCATTTTGTTTACAAGTTCTAGAATTTTTGAAAAATCATGTTTATTTGACATTAGAATAAACATATAGTCTCATTTTTTTATTATTAAAAAAGAACACATAAAAATTTAGAATTTGCACAATACTTGAATGTTGCCTAACTTAAATATAAAAAATTTAAGTTAGGTAACATTCAAGAAAAATTAAATATAAATTTCCACTATATAAATATAAATAATTTGTATTTAGCATTTGTATTAAATTAATAATTTTGTTTAAATATAACGCAAATCTAATTTAATCTCACAACGATTGCTTTTTAAAAAACATTAAAAAATAAATTAAAAGAAGCAGTTGATTGTTTTCAAAATTTTTTAGATCAATCTGCTTGTTAATCACTATATATTTAAAAAAAATTTACAATAAATTAAAGCATGTTTGCAAGATTCTATTTGATGAAAAGAAATGTTTCTAAAATTGCAAACATAAAATAAAACTGCAAACTCAAAAGATATTAAAATCTTAAATGTTTATAAAAACTATTATTAGCCAAGGTTTATACTAACCAAGGTTTATACTAACCAAGGTTTATACTAACCAAGTCTTACTACTTGCATTTACAAAAAAAGTAATTTTTAGAACTCTCCAATAATTCAATTTTGCTTTAATGATGATTTTCAAAATATTGGCCAGAATCTTTAAATAAATAAAATTGCATATTTTAAAAAACATGAAAAATAAATTTTATTTATTTAACATTTAAATTTAGATAATATAAACACAGTTTTATGTCTTTTTTTAGCTTTAGCTAGGTTAACGTAGGTTTAGAATAAAATAATAACTATGAAAATATTTAACAAAACATTCAACTTAGTTGATAACATGATAACTTAGTTAACATTATAACTTAGTTACTATAGCAACTATAAAAGAATAAGATATATCTTATTCCTTTATAGGCATTTTTTTGTACATTTTTTTCCTGCAAATTCTTTAACTTGCACACTTGTCCTATTGTGCTACGAGCTTGTCCTATTGTGCTACGAAGTTCATTTTTCATAAGTTCAAGGTGTATATTATATTAAAGCAGCAATTTGTGATTTGTATAAAACAATGGATATAAATAAGTAAAAAATCACTTATCAAAGTTTTTTTTTAATTTTAAACTGTGTGTCACCTATTTATAGATGAAATCTATTAACAGTGATTGATTTAAAAATCTATAAATAGTTGATTTGATAAATAATAAAATTTTCATAATTTAATAAATTTTTGTATAACATAATATAATATTTTATATAAATTTTTGTATAACATAATATAATATTTTATATAAACTTTTGTATAACATAGTGAAATATTTTATACAATATAATAGTTTAATATTAATTTAATAAATTCATATTTAGTAGATTTAAATCAATAAATAGTTAGTAGATTTCATCTACTTTATAGATGAAACACAGTATAAAATACACAAAATTCGATAAGTGATTTTCTACTAGTTTATTATTGTTCTCTTTTTTTAAGAACATTCAGCACTCTATTTTGTGTGTGGGAGTGTGTATGTGTGAGAGTGTATGTGTGCAATTATATTCTTTAAAACTGAATCTTACGACAGTTACGAGACATGAGCTTCAATATATAAGATTATATATATATATATATATGTATGTATATATATATATATATATATATATATATATATATATATATATATATATATATATATATATATATATATATATATATACATATATATATATATATATATATATATATATATATATATATATATATATATATATATATATATATATATATATATATATATATATATATATATATATATATATATATATATATATATATATATTTATATAAGTCTGTCTAAGGTTGGAAATTTTAAGAATTGTTTGTCGTTTTATGAAAGATCTTATACTTGACAAAGAGGGTATAACAGTTTCATCAAAAAATGTCATAATAACTTTTAATTTATTTTTATAATTCCTTTTCATTCATTTGGGTAAATTTCAATTTTGTTTTTTATAAGTTTTTTATGAGTTTAATGTTTTGATCAAAGTAATCATAATCGTAATCAGTAATCAGCGAGATAAAAAACAAAGTTCTTATAAAGAAGCTTTTATTAGTTCAATATTCTAGATAGGTTTCATCCATTAACAGTCACCTATAGTCTAGCCTATCATAACAAACAAGAACTTTTTATTTTCTGTGACCAGTTTTATAACCAAAACAGCTGCATTTGAAGGGAGAAAAAAAAAAACATAAAATAAAATGATATTTAATATGCATTTTATGAATAAAATAGACTTTTTATACAAAAGTAATACGTAGTTACTATTAAAAATATTTTTTTTTCCTGTTTTTATTACTCTGTAGGCACTACATGTTAGTATATTTATATTCTTTAAATATTTATGCCTCGCAGTGACAAAAGTTTTTGAGGGATAACCATGTTAGATATAAATCATTTCGCTATTTTACTAGGTCATAAGTTGTTTGATAAAAAAATTTAATTATACTTTTGTTGTTAAAAAAAAAGTTGCTAAAACTGCAAAGTTTAGAACAAATAATACAAACTTTTAATAAAAGTTAAAAAGTTTAAGAAATTTTATCAATGAGTAAAAAGAAAATAAAGGTTTTTAAGTTAATAAACATTTACATGATTTTTTGATTTGTTTAAGTTGTTTCAACAATAATAAAAAAATATTTTTAAGCTTCAGAAGCAAAAATAAAATTTTATGCTCTTAAGATTTTCTCAAACACCTTTTTAATTTGACTCGATCACCTTTTTAATTTGACTCGATCACCTTTTTACTTTGACTCGATCACCTTTTTACTTTGACTTTGATTAAACAAAATAAAGTAAAACAAAATATAGATATTGCAGCTAAAAATAATTCCTTTTTTATTCATATTTTTAGCTACTTAACAATTAATGTAAAAATTAATAATAAATGAGAGCAAACGACATCTTCAATTTGAACTGTTAAATTAAACATTGGTATTTGGATATATATGCACGAATGTTAATATTTAATGTAGCGTTTGAAATCG